AAACTGTAGTTTCATCTGTAGATTTAAAATTAAGAAGTTCCACCTTGAAGAACAGAATAAAGATTACCATATGAAATTACTACTTAAAGCTTTCATGAGGATCGTCACAAACCAGGGTTTAATTCAGTGAACAGAAAGATTGACCACCTTGTTCAGTGTAATAATTAAAGTACTGCTAAGTAGGTTACGTACTGAAAGGCCATGCACACACTTTAGGTTTCTGTGGTACACAGATTTAAAAATAGGAACAAGGCTGTGCTCTAGAAGCACCCAGGTGCCATCGGGGACTAACTTTTAGCTTTGGGTGACTGGTAAAACTTAGCACTCTTTTCATATAAGCTTAAATTCTGGGCACCCAGGAATTCATGGGTAGGAACCTTTGGGTTAATGCATTGAGTCTTCTTAATATTTTTTCAGGATCCAACCAAAGGTGAATTGATGGAAAATGATCAAGATGCAATGGAGGTCAGCACCACAAGTGACCAACATTTATAATGAATAGATGTATTTTTGCATAATCAAGAATTGATTGTTTGATTGAAAAGTGTTCTCAGTTAATAACTGGACATGCAGGTCAAAAAGAGTGAATTGTGAATAGTTCAGGACAAAAAAGGGGCAGATTACTTTCAGGAAACCCTTTTTCTTAGACATTTCTGACATGTAAGAGGTCCAAAACCTGAGTCTAAAACTTACAACAGTTATAGGCCAGAAATTACTGGCATTTCAATTAAATATATTTCTTGTAAATGCCTTGCAAAGTTGCAAAAGGGTCAACATTAGAGGCTAATATCACCCAGTTATGCTTCCTTTCAGCAGTACTCAATATTGTGTAAGTTATACTACTTTCAACCCATGCATCACCTTGCTACAAAAGTATTGTTCCCCAGAAACCAAGTGCAGAGAAATTTGACAAGTGTATTTTTTCTTTTTCTGTTAGTATTCGTCAGAGGAAGATGTGGAAGAGGAGACAATCGAGTCAACTTATGCACACTTTAAAACCAAGAAGAAGAAGGTGGAAATTTAGTGTTGCTGTTTTAAGTAATAATTCTCAAAC